AACACATAAATATTGGTACAAGAGGGCACCAAACAGATATGCGCCACACCATATTTGTGTGTGTGGGCTGTGATACTGCCCGGGTTCCCAAACAGAAGCAAATCGTTTTCTTAGGGGGCCACACCCCGAGCCTTCGACCTAAAGGTCTGACCCACAAGGCAGTGGAACATCGTAAAGAGATGAAGTCTAATGGTAGCAGGTGACCAACGATTGGTTCATACGCCATTTGTTCCCGCAGGATACTGGAGCCCATGTGCACTATTGTTTTGGTTTGGAATCCGGTTGAATCGCCGGACATTCGCTTTTCGTCCTTTCGATTTCGTAAACAACACCCGTGGTGCGAGAAGGCAGTGAGTAGGACTTCCCTGGCAGAGGCTGTATACGCGTGGCCATGTGAGAGCATTTCGAGAGGGGGGCGAGCCCCCCCACTCTCGGCCATACCAGGGCATTCGGAGGTAAATTAATCAATATTGTGCTTATCACTTAGCTAGTATTTAGTGATCGAGAATACAGATGAGTACGAACAAATGTATTTCAACATAGAAATTACAGAATCTTTTATTAAAATCTGAGAACCATAAAATAAATAATTCATTTACAATATGTCAATTAATTGTCTGAGACTTCAGTGTTCTTTCGTTTCCACACCCAATCATTCTCTATTTTTGTTTTCTTCTAATTGATCTTCTTAACCTTCTACCTTTAGGCATTTCACTTTTAATTCATGATTTATACTACTTATTTATCGATCGACATCAGTAGCACACACATCAAAGAAATAGATTTATTTAAATAGTTTGTTGTTTCTTTTTTTTGTTGTTAAAACTAATTTAAACAAACAATCAGAATCTATTCAATTTGTTTTAAATAATAATAATTAACATTTCAATAGGTGAATAGTTTTCTATTACAACTTTAATACATTGATCCTAATCATTAATTCTATGCACATTATAACATCATCATAAACACACCCAATGTATTTTGGGTGAGACTATAATTTATGTGAACAATCTTTAAGTAACGCTAAACACTGACTTTGAAAGTGTTCATCTAATAACTAAAACCAAATAAATCAATGATGGATAGTGGCTAGCAGTGGAATCCAGGACTTTGAGATGTAGATACATCCAGCTGACGAGTCCCAAATAGGACGAAACGTGCGTTCTGGATCCCATTGGTAGACACTATCTGTCATTGCTTACAAAACGCTTGTGACTTAAGGCTATATCAAAGCAATCCACACAGTATGCACATATACCAAATAAAAGTTATAAATTAGTATGAAGAAATCGAATTATGATTTATCGTTGATGATCAATTAAGGGTTAGAAATTAGATTTGAGAAGTTTTCATCATCAACTAATATCAGCTATGAATGCAGAAAAATGCTGTTTAACCCAAATGGATAAATGAATTTCGCGCAAAAATTCAAGATCTATTACTTCAAATCTGATTGGTTCGTTCTTAGATTATAGCCTCGCCCTATTTTTATTTTAATGATTAAAACAAATATAAACCAAGAATTTCTTCTTTCTTTTCTCAAAAGTTTTTTTAAGTGTTTCTTCTTAATTTTTCATGATAAAACTTCTCATTCAAAGTAGTTTAATGTATGTATTGTACATTTTATGTAGCAATACCCAGACAACACACGATGAAAGAACTTTATATAATAAACATGTAGATTATAGGAGATTATTATTAAAATGTAAAGTTCCTGGACAACCTAAACCAATTAATCCAGAAGAAGCATTAGTAAGTGAAAATTCATGATGAAATGAATGTTTTCTTTCTTCTTTTCTTTTTAATCAATAAATGAGAAGTTTCAGAAGGGGTTAATGTGGATATTATTAGTCAATTGAATAGTTGAGATCATGAGTCAATTGTAGTTAGATCAATATGGAAAACTTGGAAGCATTGGACGATTGTTCTGTTCTATTGTGGGACTCCTCAGTAGTACGCATCCACGATCCTGTTTCGCAAGATTCAAAACTTTAAGCTTCGAACTTCAATTGACTCATAATCTCAACTGTTGAAATCACTAAATTATTCGCAAAAAACCCCTTGTAATATTAATCAACATATGCTCACTAGTTACTGGCTTCAAGAGTTATTTCCTGGAGTGTTAGTGAGAAGCAGTGACCAATGGAGTTCAACAAGGTCTGTTGTGAAGTAATGACTCTCAGAAGATGATGGTGGATGTGTCGCCCAATTTCGTGGATTAGTTGGAGTTAGACATCAACACCACTGGATGCCGGCTCAGTGGTCTAAAGGTTAGGCGTACACCCGCGAGACCGGTAAATCCTGGGTTCTAATCTCGCGAGACGGGTTCATGGATATGAAATGCTGGGGAGTTCCACAACAGAACTAAACGACAGTCCAGAACTTCCATGTTTTCCATGGTGGTCTAGCATCAATTAACCCATGATCTCAACTATTGAAAATAAGAAGGTCTCAATGAAATCTACTATCTAATTTTTACTGGCCAATATATTTGATGTTAGTCATATAATAAACATTTTTTAGCTGATAAATTCTAAACGACTTAATTACTTATGCCTGTTAGTCCTCAAGAAGGAGCATGAATCACTCACCAGGATTGATCGTCGGACCTATTTAACCTCTTATGATGTATCGAAATTTGAACATGGCTGATAACATCTCATAGAACTTTCACTCACTGTTGATTTAAGTTGAACCTTCATCCTTAATTTTTTTTAAAAAAAACATGACTTCTGTATTTCTAGAAACTGTGCTTGAAGACAACTTACCATCAGATGAATGGCGTGAAGATGTTGTATTAAATACAGCGCTCAATTATACTAAGTTTTCAGTTAATTTCCATGTCAATAGCATAGTACATTCTGCTCTTAATACTTACTAATTTACGCCTGTAACCCCTCGTCTAAGAGCATCAGCCGCTTATCGTTATTTTCCATTCAACTCTATCATGGTCAATTCTTTCTAGTTGTTTCCAACTGCTATTGATCCTTTTCTTTTCTGCTTCCAATTCTCGATGTATTGTGTTCTTTGACCTTCCTCTTTTTTGTTTCCCTTCAGGATTCCAAGTTAGCACTTCTAAAGAAGTAGTGTATAAAAATAGTGCAAATTTTCAAACAGTGACTTTTTTTCCAAATTATCATTTGTTTATACTACAACTTATTCAAAGAGTAACAAGTCTAGACTATTCCACAAAATTATGAAAATGAAACAGTCATAGTAGTTATAATGATTCTTATTTATATAATCCTCATTACATAAGTATTTATGACGAAATTATCATTATTATCATTAATTTATTAAAATACAGATATTAATGGAGTAGACAAAATGGACTATTCAACAACAAATCAGTCTTATTACGGGACTCCTCAGCAGTCCTGGGTTCGAATCTCGCGGAGGTGCGGGATCGTGGATACGCACTGCCACTGAGAAGTCCCACAATAGGATGAAACGGTCGTCCAGTGCTTCCAGGTTTTCCATGGTGGTCTAGTTTTAATTGATTCATGATCTCAACCATTGAAATGACTATAATATCCACAAAAACCCTTCTGATATGAATAAATCCGTCTACAAATACAAACTAATCGGACTTCATTGAAACAACACTACTGATCAATTCAGTTGATTTATTATTTGACAATTGAATCTATGTATGAAATAACCGATCAAGACGGAATGATCTGTAGGATAAACAATCACTTAAATAAACACTATAATCATAAACTAATCAATGATCCTTAGACTCACATTGTCCTATAATATGGCTGAAATATTTAGTTATGACACTTATCTGTCCAAATCTTGTAGATAAAGCTAACTTTAAAACCTTCTTATTGACTGGTAGATGAGAATAAAAGTTAATAGATTAAAATGGTTGGACAATGTTTTCAGCTCTCTGACTAACTATCTACCGTTATGTTGGTAGATTCTCAAAAGACTGTGTTGAGTAAACCATAGGAATTAAGCAATATATCAAGTTGCTCACTACTATTTAATACCGTTAGAAAGTATTTATAATGTGACATAAAATTAACTATTGTTATTGTGGTGTGTGCTACTGATATCGATAGATATAAGTAGTATGTATCGCCACTTGAGAGTGGAATGCCTGAAGTCAGAAGGTTGAGAAGATCGAAGAAAAGAGGATGAGAACGAAAGCAGAGAATGATTGGTGTGAAAGCGAAAGAATACTGAAGTCTGAGACGATGGATTGACATTTCGCAAATGAAGTATTCACTGTATGGCTTTTCAGATTTTAGTAATTTATTCTGTGATTTTATATTCAAATATTGTTAAGGAGACCCAGAAAATCCTTCGAAAAAATGTCAAAAAAGTCTCTGAAAACGCTGAGAGACATCTTATCCAATCCAGCATTCATTAAAAGTTTTGCCAGAAACATTTAGAAAGTGACAAGTCACATGTCGCCTATCTGATTGGATGATTGCCTATACTGTTATTATGTCTAGAAGTGTTCCAGAAAGTTCCGTAAGTCCAAGGCCATCTAGAATACTATAAACACAGTAGATACTCTGTACATGAACAAACATTGGAGTAAAGCGTTCCATCCATATTTTGCACCTTTTCTCTCATGTTCAAGTCGCTGTGTAGATTTAGCCAGGGGGGGGGGGCATTAATAGAAGAGCTTAGGAAATCGGATCTAATGTTCAATTAGAAGACTTATCAAATACATTTAGTTGTTCCTTCGCTTGCGTTCTTATTCACTATATTAGTTACTTTAAAAAGAACGTTGGACATATAAACACATGTTTATATATTCAACACAAATGGAATCGTACATACTCTTGTCTATAACAGAGATTTTTTTGAATAGAAACCTTTTAATTTCCTAAATATTCATAGTTCAAATTACAATCTTTCTTCAGTGAACAAGAACCCAGGTGAAGGGTGGGGAACAACCAGATGCATTTGGACACAAAATTGCAGAATCCCTTACTGAAATCTGAGAGAACTATGCAGTAAATAATTCACTTGTAAAGGGTCAATCAATCGTCTCATACTTCAATGTTCTTTCGTTTCTACACCAAACATCCTCTGTTTCTATTGTTTTTTCTTTGATCTTCTTAACCTTCTGCTGCCAGACATTTCATTTTCAATTACTGTTACATACTACTTATATCTGTCCATATGAGTAGCACACACCACAACATCACTAGCTTATTATAATATCACTATTAGCTTAACCGTTTAATGTAGTTACACGTATAACTTGACACAAACATAAAGTGATAAGCATGAACTAATATTATATTTTTCTTTTAAAAACATTGGCCAACAATATTATTTATTTATTTGAACACATAAATATTGGTGAAAATGGGCACCAAAAACATATACGCCACACAAGTCACTTGATTTGTGTGTGGGCTGTGATACTGCCCGGGTGCCCAAACTGAAACAGGTGGTTCTCTTAAGGGGTCACATCCGGAGCATTCGACATAAAGGTCTGACCCACAAGGAAGTGGAGCGAAATTGTGAGGCGAAGTCACATGTTAGCCGGTGACCAACAATTTGTTCATGCGCAATTTGTTCCCTCACGACCCTGGAGTCCATGTACACCATTGGTTTGGGACCAGGGTTTCCCAACTTTCTTAGGTGGATCGTCCATATCCACCAACCCGGTTAAATCACTGGACATTCGGTTTTCGCCCTCTTGATTTTGTAACCAACACCTCCGCCACGAGAATTCAGTGATTAAAACTTTCAACCATATGGATAAGACATCAATGTAGAGTTAATATAGAACGGTGAAAATATAATTTATAGACGACCTGTAAGCGATGCTAAAAAGACCTTAAGAATGTTCACCTAAATACTACGGCTAAATGAGCGTTATAAACCAATTTGAGTAATTAGAATTAATATTGACAGTTGATAGTTAAGATTAGGAATTAGATTTAAGGGTTTTTATCAAGAACTAATATCAGCTATAGTATTAAAACGCTCTTTAATCAAATAGATGAATGAATTTCACGCCAAAACTCAATACCTGTCCTCGTAAATCTGATTAGTTCGTCCATAAATTATAATCTCACCAATAGAACAATTAATCATTCTAACACATAGGATTTAAATCGTTTTTTTCTGGTTAGCTTTCTTTTTTTATCGAGTTTGTTTTCTACGAGATGAAGTCGCTAATCCCATCCCCAACCCTCCTTCTTTACCCGGGCTTGAGATCGGCAATAACTCTAGAAGAGCTACAGGTGGAGTTATTCTAACACAAAACTATCGTTTAATAGTATACAGAAAAAATCCAATTGATTTAATTTCAATAGTTGAAATCATGAGTCAATTGAACCTAGACCACTATGAAAAACCTGGAAGTACTGGACGGCTGTTTCGTCCTAGTATGGGACTCCTCAACAGCACGCATCCACGATCCCGCCCCCCTCGAGATTCGAACCCAGGACCTATCAGTCCCGCGCGTGAGTGCTTAACCACTAGACTACTGAACCGGTATTAATGTTCAACTTCAACTTCGCTGGGATCGGGATCGTGGATGCGTACTGTCACTGAGAAGTTCCATAATAGGACGAAACGGCTGTCCAGTGCTTCCAGGTTTCCAACGGTGATCTAGCTTCGATTGATTCATGATTTCAACTATTAAAATTATTAAAAATCTCCACAAAACCCCTTCTGATTATTCATTTAAATTAACTATATTCCTTTTAAATATTCATATTGTTTACTTACAGAGTTGGGATAATGATTTAGAAGATTTAGCTAATAGACAAGTAGTAGCATGTAATTTAAGTAGTGAATATAAAAAAGCTGAAGTGGAAAAAGAATATCGTGATACAATTGGTATAAATACAGCTGATAATCTAAACGTTTTAAAGTAAGTCTACATAGAAATAATCAATTGAATTCATTATGAAGTGCCATGGAAACTTGGTTCAATGAATATCAATTATATGATTACACAAGGAATAAATGCAAAGTACCTAAAGATTGTCTCCATTATAAAAGGGTAAGTAAATTAATAATGAACTTTTAAGCTAATTGATGAATTAAAGTTGATCATCATCAAGCAGAAATATCAATCAATGATAGTTGAAAAGAGTGAACTGAATGTAAAAGTCTTTACATTGTGACATGAAGTTTCTGTATCTGATCGCATAGTGCATCATGGTCCCTTAATATTAAAGAGTTCTAAATAGGGGCGAAACATATGAAAAGCATTAACCCATTGATGTTTACAACTGTAATTGATCAGTCTCTTATTGGTATATGTACATCCTGTGCGGATTGTCTCAAGATTGCCTTCAGTCATAAGCATTCTAGCAGAAATGGGTGATGTCTAGCACAGGAATCTAGTTTGACGCGCGTTTCGTCCTATTTAGGACTCGTCAGCTGGATGTACATGAACTCCAGATTTCATGTTCAATTTCGAACTTAGTACCGTTCGCTGATGAGTCCCAAATAGGTCAAAACACGCATCCTGGATTGCACAACTAGCCACCATCTATCTCTTCTTATTGCTAAGTATCTTTTGATTCTCAAACCCTTTTTCAAATTGATATGATGAAAGTCATTCTCATATTAATAAATTTTTAAGTTCCTGGTACTAAAATTGAAAGCTAACCGTACTGTCGACAAAAATCGATTGAAACATCTATTCAGTGTATAAAGCTATGCAAAGTAACAAGTGTTTATAGAAGTATGAAAGTGTAAAATCTATTGGGGAATAACTGAGAAATTTTCAAATAAAGCATACAATAGCCCTTTTATCAGCTCAACAATTGTCTAAAGTGTTTATAATGTTACTTAAATGAACAGATACAACACTAGTATAGAACTCATTGGCAGAGGATACTGATGATGCCACAGGCATTTGGAGTTTGACAACGCTTTAACCGGTAACACCTTCTACTATGAATCGTACTCGCCAAGTGAAATCAAAAGACAGAAGCAAGGACGTTCGAAGTTATATTTGATAAGTTATCAATATATCGTGGATCGACTGATCTAATCTGGCTAGCGATTTCAGGGGATATTGAGCACGGCGTTCTCACTCGTGATCTTGTGCGGATGCATGACCGAGCGCCTCTAGCTAGGTGAGTTCATTAAAACTAATATGGTCAGCATCCAATGTCGAAGACTAACAGAGGTACTTATTTTGGGGATTTATTAACCGCTACAATACATAGAATTTATCAATGAATGGAACTAAGAATAATTAGGTCTTTTGAAGAACACGTTACCATTTGACCACTGAATTGGAACACTATGGTTAACTTTTCCCGGGTAAAATAATTCGCGACATACTTTAAATGGACCATTGGATTTCAATTATGTTGTTAACAGGTATTGCATTTACCAAGAGATCTAAATATCCTTGAATTTTCTCCTTAGGTAGGGTGGTGACTGAACGAAAAAGGAAGCGTTTTTTTTTCTGTTTTCATTCGTTGACTTTTATTTACTCTTTTCTTTGGAAATACAATGTGATCTATGGATAACTTGATGTGATTTGATAATGATTTTCGTCAAAACATATTTTCACATAAGAAATCATTAAAAATCAATCAATAACAGATAGTTACTCCTAATCATATATGTACCCATAACCTTTTCGATGGAGTTTTTTTCTTCTTTGAGCCTGTGGGGCCCTTTATTTTTGTCGTCATTTAGATCGGACGATGTTGTCGAAAGGTTCTCTCCACTTTAGTGTCCCGAGATCTGACTCCAAATAGATCGTATGAATGATTGCTATCGAAATGTATATGTCGCCTATTCTCGTCTATAATCATCGACTTAAATCGCATTAGTCAATAACAGAATCAAATAAGTCAAATAACGAGAATGGACCTTTGAATACGTATATTTTGTATATGAAGCGAATAAAAATGGAGAGAAGCAAAACGACGCGGTGTGGAGAAGGCGGGTAAGCCAACTCCATTTCGTCAAGCGTTAATCAATAGTCATAGTTACACAAAAGTAAGTTACAGATATGTGATGAGTAATGGGATAAGAAGTGTACACCCACATATGCGCTCATATAAAAACAGTGAAGAGTAATAAGCGAATAATTGATAAGGTCAAAATATGACTTAAGTAGAATGAATAGATTGAGCTGTACGAAATTTAGAATAAAGTAATATAGCCTCAACATAATAAACCGACACTACAAGCTGGATGGTTTGGTCGTGATGCTTTCATCGTTCTTTTGAACAACATCATCAGTACAAACTTCAAGTACCCATAATCTATATGAACTAGAAGAAAAAATCTTTTTATGAACTAACGTTCTTCAATAAAAAGTGTTCTAATCATCGAATGATTAGTTCTTTAATTAAAATGATTTTATTTAATTCTATAGATTGTATGGGGTAGCGCTGAATTTATAGGTTGCTCAACTGGATATTGTAGTGATCTAACTGAAGTTAAATCAGGCAAAATAATTGTGTGTTATTATTCACCCATGTAAGTTTCTTTTTTCATGATTAAGATATATGAGTATGATTAGAATTCTATCGTGAAAGAATATTGATTTTAAAAGAAAAAACATGAAAAGAATTAGATAGGTTTTATTCACTTGGTGTTGTTTACCATGTATCTTCTCATTGTTATTTAGGACTGCAGTTGATCAGTCTGTTGTTGGCATATGTGCATCCTTTACGGACTGCTTCGATATAGCCTTAAGTCACAAGCTATTTAAGCAAAGATGGATAATGGCTAGCAGTGAAATTCAGTTTGACGCGCGTTTCGTCCTATTTGAGACTTCTTAGCAGTACGTTCATACGGGTCTGTTGTGAAATAGTAACTCGCTCGAGACAATGGTGGATGGTGATGCAATTTTGTGGATTGGTTGAAGTTAAACATTAACACCTTTGGATACTGGTTGGCTCAGTGGGGTAGAGGTTAATCGCTTGAGCGCGAGACCGAAGATTCTTGGTTCAAATCCTATATGCGTAATCGTGGATAAAACACTGAAGACGGTTTTCATACTAGAACGTAACGGTCTTCCAGTACTTCTAGATTATTCATGGTGGTCTAGCTTTAATTGACTAGTGAACTCAACTATTAAATTACTACAATCCCCACAAAAACCCTTTCCGATATGAAATATATGTCTGTAGAAGGATAGAAAAGATGGCATCATCCTAGTTCTGCAAGTTTCCGCCCCATACAGTAGAATTGTCTTGACATTTGTATTGAAAATTCCGAGTTTGGCGTTGGTTGACAGAGAGTTGTTTTGAGTTCCAGATTTTCTTCAGTTGTATATATGCTGCTCTTGCTTGACCGATCTACACCTTCATATCTGAATCAGATCCACCGTGTTCATCAATGATACTACCCAGATATGTAAAGGTTTTTTCATAAAGGTCATAATAATAATAAAAGCTGAATAATAATCAAGATAACTCGTTTAATGGGCAACAATAATAACTGATTACAATTGAAAATTACAAAACACTAATTTGAAAAATCAATAATGATGAAAAAATGGAATAAAGAAAGAAATCCGAAACTTACTACAAAAGGGAATTATTACCAAGGAAGGATGAGAGGTTGGGCGTATCATTTTTGCACGGAAAGTTCGGGCTTCAGTTGATGGGTTGCCAATGCCTCAGTAGTGCATAGGATTTTGATTCAACTTTCCTCCGATCAAATTCCTTTGACTGTGTAGATTATTTTAAGAGAAGACTTCTTTGGAGCGACATATCTATAGTTGATTAAATGCTCCTGTATTATTCAATGACACAATTGATTATTTTAATGAAAAATGAATTGATGGGGTATTCAGCGAATATATATATATATATATATATATACTTAATTACGCCTGTTACTCCTCGTGAAGGAGCATAGGCCTCTCACCAGCATTCTCCATCCAACCCTGTCCTGGGCAATCCTTTCCAGCTCCTTCCAGTTGTTGTTCATGGTTTTCATATCTGCTTCTATTTCCCGACGTAATGTGTTCTTAAGCCTTCCTCTTTTCCGCTTCCCTTCAAGATTCTGAGTTAGAGCTTGTCTCGTGATGCAGTTAAATGATATGCGTAATGTATGTCCTATCCATTTCCATCGTCTTTTCTTAATTTTCTCTTCAGCTGGAAACTGGTTTGTTCTCTCCTACAAAAGGCTGTTGCCGATGATATCCGGCCAATGGATGTTGAGTATCTTGCGAAGACAGTTATTTATAAATACTTGTACTTTCTTGATTGTGGTTGTTGTAGTTCTCCAAGTTTCAGCTCCATACAGTAGAACTGCCTTGACATTCGTATTGAAGATTCTCACTTTGATATTGGTTGAAAGTTGTTTTGAGTTCCATATGTTATTCAACTGTAGGAATGCGGCCCTTGCTTTTCCAATCCTCGCCTTTACTTCTGCGTCAGATCCTCCTTGTTCATCGATGATACTTCCCCTTGTGTATGTTGAAGCCTACTGATGCAGAGACTGCTAATACACTGGCTGTCTTCATCTGCATTTGTTCGTGTGTATGCGATAGGAGGGCTAGGTTATCTGCGAAGTCCAAATCGTCTAATTGGTTCTGAGCTGTCCATTGTATGCCGCGTTTTCCCTCAGATGCCGAGGTCTTCATAATCCAGTCGAACACCAGAAGAAAGAGGAAGGGAGAGAGTAAACAGCCGTGTCTGACTCCTGTCCTTACTTGGAATGCATCTGTCAGCTGTCCTCCATGCACGACTTTGCATTGTAGTCTGTCGTACGAGTTCCGGAGTTCAGGAACTCTATAGAGTCAAGGAAGTTTCCATAACGCCCTCCTATCCACACTGTCAAATGCCTTTTCATAATCAATGAAGTTGATATACAGTTACGAGTTCCACTCAATTGATTGTTCGACGATGATCCGCAATGTTGCAATTTGGTCTTTGCACGACCGATTCTTACGGAATCCAGCTTGTTGATCTCGAAGTTGGGCGTTTACTGCATCTTTCATCCGGTTCATCAACACTCTGTTAAAAACTTTCCCTGATATTGACAGCAGTGTAATGCCTCTGTAGTTTTCACATCTGCTCAGATCTCCTTTCTTTGGAATCTTGACGAGGTGTCCTTCTTTCCAGTCCATCGGCACTTGTTCCTCCTCCCAAATCTTTTTGAATAGAAGATAAAGCATGCTTGTGGTTGTTTCGATGTCTGACTTCAGTGCTTCAGCTGGTATGTTGTCGGGTCCTGCTGCATTCCCGCTCTTAATTTGTCTGACGGCCACTCTAATTTCTTCCGTCGTTGATGGGTTGACATCTATAGGAAGATCCGTGTGTGCTGCTTCGATTTCCGGTGGATTCATTGAAGCCGGCCTATTCAGTAGTTCCTCGAAGTATTCTACCCATCTGTTCCGCTGTTGTTGAATTTCAGTGATTTGCCTGTCTTCTTTGTCTTTGACCGGTCTCTCTGGTTTACTATATTCCCCTGCAAGTTTCTTCATTGTATCGTAAAGCTGTTTCATATTTCCTTCTCTTTCTAGTTCTTCCACGTATTTCTTCTTGTCGGGCGGAGTTATATATATACCAAACAATGGAGAAGAGATCTGAGTCCGTCTGTCTGTGAATAGAATGTGCAACGCACATCTTATAAGCAACTTCTGTTTATAAATTTAATGGATAAATATTTAGAGATTGCATTGAATAAAACCTTACAATAAATTTATGATTCCCATCATATTAAAAGACTAATATTTGAACAAAGAATATTGTTGAATGATCACCTCATTTTGTATTTATCAGTTTGACTGCTCCTATGAAGCAAGTTGTATTGGTCAAACTTCTAGGAATTGACATTTTCGTGCTTGTGGACACCTTTCAGCGTGGTGAAGCAAAGGTGTGATGAAGAAAGTAAACAGCTCGATATTGGCCCATTTAGTACAAACTGGTCATAGTACCAGTATAAAATAATCCTTTTCAGTTATTTACCATATCACACAATTAACCATCTATAACCAACAGATCTAACTAACTGCGATTATATGTCACGATTGACTAATCGACTGGAGTCATTACTTCTCATATCAGTCAGGCACCTCTCCTCAATAAAATTTGCATAAGTTATGGTATCTATTAATTACAGAAAATGACGGCCAATTTGTTTATTTAGTGCAATAATTTTGATTTTGTGCTTTTTTAAAAACCCCACCACTTTTGATCATTTCAGGGGTGATGTGCAAGCATTAACGCCATATGAAGAGAATAAAATTGATCCTTGTCCTCATCCTCCTCCAATAACAACAACAACCACCACAACAACAAGAAAGCCAATTACAGTAACTAGCAAATTACAAATGGGTCCGTATGGTCGTTATCGCTGTAACTGCAAATGTCAACCTTAATACTGTATCTAACAAAAACACTGAGACCCACTTTGTATTTTCTATATGCGTAAACTCCTGTAAACGACAACTGTTGGTATACTATTACAGTAATAAAGTATGCCCTTTTTAAGAAGACTTTTCAGCTCGTTTTTTACACATCATTTTATTAAGAAGGGATCTTGTGAAGATTGTAGTAATTTAATAGTTGAGTTCATGAGTGAATTAATGCTAGACCACCATGGATAACTTGGAAGCACTGGACGGCCATCCCACTTAAAATAGCGGAAAATTACCAATTTCAAATTAAAGAAAACTTAAAACGAACAACATTTTGCTAAGCCGCTGAAATAAAATTATTACAATAAGCAGATTATATTTATGCAGGCATGCTACACAAGCTTTATCACATTAAGAATGAGTTTTATATATTCGAAACACATCTCATCAGTATCAACGTACATCTTTTTTGATTGAATGAATTGAATCTTGGCTATATCATTATATTTATGCGCGTAATTAAATGTTCACTACTGGCAAATTATCAGTGCCCCTAATATTTATTCAAATTTTCTATCTTAGGAAATGAAAAGGTAAATTTACAATCAGTTAGTTATTTAGTCAAAGTTCTTATAATCAACATAAGGATTTCGTCTTATAAGGAGTAATATAATCAGTCTTTCATACTATGTAACAGCTTAGGTTGGTTGGTTAAGAGTTCACCTGCAACAACTAAGCATATGTCAGAACAGTAGAGTTCAAGTATTCATTCACTTCCTTATTTTGTATAATCGTTATATTTCCTATTATCTTATATTGAATGTTGAGAGGCTTTGCTTGTCTGAACAAACAATCCCACACTCCACTGTGACTGCGAAGATCTAAATAAAGACCTATTTACTACTTGTCTGGTTTCTTCTATCGATAGCACGAGGGTTACCTAGAGGCATGAAAACTACTTAGAATAGAGTGTAAGTCACCACTGGAGGGAAATAGGATCAAGTCGTTGCCTACATCAATGTTACATCTCGGAGTTAGTGCATAGTGTGGGATATCCTGCCGCAAAAATCAGGTTAACCAGCTCTTTTGGTGACTGCGTATAACAGGTAGAATCTTAACAGAACACAAGTATGTATTAGTAAGAACAGATTAATGTAGCAGA